AAAAAAAAAAAAAAAAAAAGAAAAAAAAAATAAAAAATGAAACTTTGTCTATTTAGACAAAGGGAGATGCTGCGGTCCGTTGCAGAATCATTCAGTCAGAGTTTGTAACCGTTAGATCAATTATCTCCGGCGTTGCATGATGATCTTACAGTTACAAACACGACGAAATGGTTTCGTAACGGCCTAATACACAAATATGTAAACAATTTTATAGTGTCAGTGCATTAAGACTGGTGAGGAGGAATGAAGAGAAGGAATATACTAACGGGTCCACCCTGCAGCCAAAGGATTATGGGTCGTGACCTTGTTAGACCCTGAGTCCTATAAGGACTTTTGTAGAACCACCAAAACATATGGGCCTCTGTTGTGAAAAACAAAAAGATTGTGATATATTTCATTAAATTACTTGTAATTGGGTCTAAGCCAAGAAAAAAATGAAAAGATATTTGCAAGTTATGAGACATTACTGGGCCGAACTGTAACGTAACCCCAGCTTTCTTGTCCATCTCCCTTTCTTGTACAATTGACCAATAATTCTCCTTCAAACATTGGGAATAAAAGCATAAAAACAATAAAACAAAAACTAATAGTATGTGACTTTTCCATTTTTTTTTTTTTTTTTCAAACAGAGAACTCTTAAACTGAGGAGTGATTTACTAATAAATATAAAATAGATAGATGGTGCACAAGTGAAAATCAGAAACTATGAATTTATAGGCCAAAAAAGGTGACAGCTGCATATCAATAGGTGATTCCAAGTTTGACTTTGTTGGTGATGTTTTAATAATTGTTTGTTAGAATAATTAGCGCTCATTCCCTAATTAATTATATATTGTGAAGAAATTGTATAAATTATGTCAGTTAGCTCTTAAGCATGTCTTGATTATTCTCAATAAAGGAAATAATATATACACACACACACACACACATATATATTGTAAGAAACTGGGGGAAAAGAAAAGCTCATATGAAGCCCAAGTGGGGTTCCATCCCAAAACCAATTGGTGAAAGGAGGAGCAGCCCATTAGACTTATAAGGTGGGTCTATTTTCTATGTGTGAACGATGTGGGACAACTCACAAGTGATATTCTAACACGCAACCACAAAGTGGGCTCTGATATCATGTCTCTAACCCAGACACAAAGTTGGTCGGGCTCTGATACCATGTCTCTAACCCATGCACAAAGTGGGCTCTGATATCATGTCTCAAACCTGGCTCTGATACCATGTCTCAGACCTGGCTCTGATACCATGTAAGAAACTGGGGGAAAAGAAAAGCCCATATGAAGCCCAAGTGAGGTTCCATCCCAAAACCAATTGGTGAAATGAGGAGTAGCCCATTAGACTTATAAGGTGGGTCTATTTTCTATGTGTGAACGATGTGGGACAACTCACAAGTGATATTCTAACATATATATATATATAGGGAAATTTGTAAGCATCCTACACGATTTGAAATAAATTGCAACGTTACTATTAATAACACTTTAATTGAGATTATACCTAATAGATAAGAATTATTTGCATTCATGCCTAAAACCAGTTACTGCTCTATGTCAACCCTATCCCATGTTTTTTGCGCACGATTTTTGGATTGATGATGGGAATAATCAAATTTGAATTTTAAAAACAAGATCATTGATACAGACGGAAAAAAATTATAAAAAAAAAAAAGCAAAATTGATTGCCAATCGTTCTCCATTCCCAAACATATACCAGAGGAAAAAATTGTCTTCTGCCAATCATTATTGCATTGATGCAGTCGAAAAAAAAGGGAGAAGTGGGCGTCGATCATCATCGTTTTTCTTTCCCCAACATATACCACAGGAAAATATTGTGTTGTGTCGATCATCATCGTTGTTCATTGGAGAACGTTCCTCAAGAAAATTCTAATACTTTCCAGGTCGAATATTTGGAGGTATATTTTGTGATAATAAGCTTCATTAAATGGTAGTAGACGTTTTGCTTGATCCACGAGCTACCGTGGTTTAGGTCTTACAATGGTAGCCAGGACATCAGTGTAACTGGAAAGGGGGAGTTGATACATAATTTAATAATATGTGTGAAGTTGGTTGAGCTACCATTTTTCGTGTAATGACAGATCTAACAAAGCTGTAACTAAAAATGTATGGAAAAAAAAATAACTATTTTCTTAACATATCTCTTGCAAGTTCATAATGTACATGAGGATTACTAGTAGAAATATCTCTAAAACCCCATTCTTGGGTGATAACGTAAGTTAGTAGCATCTTGAAATTTTTCTAAGAATTTCATAAGTGTGTGGCAATTTACCCATCTTGGGTGATAATGATTACATCACAATCATCCATCCGATGAGGACTACGAAAAAATTCCTCAATTTGATGAGAAAATGCATACATTTTCAATAACATTTTATAAGTTGATTTCTAACATTTAGGAACGTCAGGTTGGAATTTTTTAAGTGTAAAACCTTGCTCTCTACAATAGTGTCCCCATTTTTTAATTTCTTGCGGACGATGATGTAAATAAGTAACGACATTCCTAATAGGTGTACCGTCTCTTTTAAAGCATGATAACCCGTTTGAACACAAATATGAATGACATGATACACCGAATATGAAAATGTTTTTCCCACAAAGGGACGATAAATTTCTTTAAGCTCGGGTATAGATACAGTATTAGCACTATCATATCAAATGAAATTAAAAAATGTTTTTTACTAATTCTATAACTATTCAAAAGACATGAAATTAAACGAGCGATGGTAAAAGTAGTGTGAGCATTAGGAAATCTCGTGTAAAATATAAGCATTTTTGTAATGTACAACTATTATCTACCCAATAACAAGTAATTCTCATGTAAAAAGTATTTTGCTAATGGTCGGACCAAATGTCACAACATATATAAAATCTTTGGTTTAAAACTGCAAAAGGTTGGACCGAATATTTGGATCTCGTCGTACCGCCACCGCCATCATCGGCCCTCTTTGTAGACCATTGACGACTTTGAAGTTGATCCTGTTGGGTTCCTCCACCTTGAGAAGGATCGAACTCGTCTTCGTACGACTGCTCATGGTTCTCCTCCACCAATTGTATGCTGTCATGGATTTTGTCATAGAGTGAAAGATGCGTTGGACCATATCTCGGGCTCAACGTCATCGGGAAGACCCAGAACGTCCCGGTATACCTTTTGTCTCGACATCAGCAATGGAGGTCTATTCGAAGAAGATTCGCTTATATTTTTACTCTTTTATGGTGGCCGACAACCGACAAACCACCACTATGATAACTCGACATTTTATAACTAGAATGGTTTTAATAAATAATAAATGGAGAGTATTATATAATAAAAATTTATAGAATCGAAATCAAAATGAGAATGAATATGTAGAATTGGGATTTCAAGACTGAATTTATATAGAACTGGACCGATTTACAGAAAATCGAGCACAAAAACTAAAAATTAGCACTTTAAGAGCTTAGAAAAGTGTAGAAAAGAGAGAAAGATGTTGTGTAAGGTGTGAATACTCTGAACTCGGGACGTATAGTTTTTTTTTAATTTATTAGACCCGCCGGATATGAGTCAAGCGGGCTAGTTGGATCTTAATCGTTGGATCTCAACGCCCAAGATGATCCAACGGTCAGATTTAAAAATCTAACTGTTGGTTGACGTTGTGTAACCCGACAGGCCGAGTTGAACTCGGACCCGAAGTCGAAATAAGAAAAAAAAAATCAAACTATTGGATCTCCAATAGCCCAGATTTAGCGGACCACCAACGTTCCCAAGAGACCCCGGCTCGGCTAGGCCCGACCCATAGAAAGAAATAAAAAATGAAAAAATGGTGGGCGTTCTCCGAGCCAATTCCAGCTAGATCTGGCCCGGCGCAGCCCGCCGGATCAAAAAAATTTTACACATGAGGCTCCGAATTTGCCCAATCAAACTATGAGCTTGGGTCTCAACTGTTGACCACAGACTGGTTCAGGACCGGTGACCATGACTATTGTTAGAAAATCACTTGTGAGTTGTCCCACATCGTTCATACATGAAAAATAAACCCACTTTATAAGTCTAATGGACTACTCCTCCTTTCACCAATTGGTTTTGGGATGGAACCTCATTTGGGCTTCATATGGGCTTTCTTTTTCCCCCAATTTCTTACATGATATCAGAGCCCGACCAACTTTGTGTCTGCGTTAGAGACATGATATCAAAGCCCACTTTGTGCCTGGGTTAGAGACATGATATCAGAGCCCGACCAACTTTGTGTCTGGGTTAGAGACATGATATCAGAGCCCATTAAACTTAGCTACCGCAAGTTTAATACAACCTATGTAATTTAATACAATGATAAATTTCTGTGGGCACTTCTATCGGGTGATTTATTTAAAAAAAAATATTGAAATTAAGTGGACAAAAAAAAAAAAAAATGGGAGTGGACAAGCATAAAACATACGTATTCCTTGAATACGTTTTTCAAAAAAAATTAATTAAAAAAACGTATTCCTTGAATACGTTTTCATTTAAATGTTTTAATTAAAAAAAATCGTAAACAATTTTCAAAATAATTTTCGTTAAATAAAAAAAATAATAAAAAAACCGTATTTAAGTAATACGTTTTCAGAAAACGTATTTACTAAATGCGTCTTAAAAAAATTTATCTTTTTTTAAAAAATTCATTTAATCAAAACGTATTTAAGGAATACGTTTTACATTTAAATGCACAGAAAACGTATTCCTTAAATACGTTTTGCGTAAAATATATTAAAAAAAAATCTTTCTTCTCCATTTACGCGAGCGAGCAGCACAGAGAGGAGCACTACTGAGAGCATTTTTTCAAAGAGAAGTGCGAAAATAGTTGAGAAAAAAAAACTCGATCCAATCTTCACTCTAACGTGAACCGACAACAGCGACACGAGCCTTATTTCCAGTTAATTCATTCGCACGAGGTATATTGGTTTATCTTAACTTTTTATATTTGTTTGGAGTTATTTGGAGATTGATAATTGTTATAATATGTTTGAATGTATTGGTGTTTGAAACTTGAAATTGCTAATTGATTAATGATTATGTGTGTATGTCGAATTGGATATTGAAATATTATGTGTTAATTGTCAATTGTGTAATTGTTTGGTTGTTGTTGTGGTTAGGGTTTTTTGAAATTAGGGTTTCAATTTATCGAAATTATAGATGATTTATATGTTATTGTTCGATAAGGGGATTATTTGATTGAGAATGATTTTTTTTTATGGTTTTTTTGGTTGAAAGTGAATTATATGTTATTGATGGATTATGAGTATTAGGGTTTGATAAATGAATTCGTGATTTTATTTTTAACAGGTATAAATGGCGTCTGCCGGACTACCATACTTTGTTAATGTGTATTAGAATTATCCCAAAGAGGTTTTAGATTCATTTTCAGATTTTATAAACCGTCCGGATGGTTCATTTTGCATTGGGGAGAAGATATCATTTCAACAATTTGTAGATATACTTTATGAAAATTTTGGTTTCCGTCGAAATGGTTTGACAATTGAGGGGATTAGTTTACTGACAAACCGACCCGATGG